CCCTTGTTAGTTAGAGCTCAAATGCAGTATCGCATTCAGTTTGGGGCGCCATGGTTGAAGAAGGACATTGATAAACCGGAGAGTGTCTAGAAGAGGGCATCCAGGTTGGCGAAAGGCCTGGAATCAATAACATATAAAGGGCAGCTAAAAGAACCTGGCAGGTTTAGGCTGAAGGAGAGAAGGTTCAAGGCAGGGACAGGAGAGCCATCTTCAAGGATTTGAATGGTTTCGATGTGGAAGAAAGATTATGTTTGTTCTGTTGGAGGTTAAAAGGCAGAACCAAGTGGAAGTTGCAGGAGATCAATTCAGTAAAAACTTTCTAAAAATGAAAGCTATCCCAAAAGTGGGACGGTTGTTTTTCCTTCTTTGGATACTTTCAAGCAGAATCTGCATGACTTTTGGCTCTATGGTAGGCATTCCTTTGGTCTAGGTCCTAAACTCCAGGATTTGGCAAACTTTTTCTGTAAAAGACCAGATTGTCAATATTTTAGGCTTTATGGGCCAAAAGCCAAATCAAATATATTATACAGGTACTTATATAACACAAGAGAAAACAAATTTCCACAATTTTTTATCAGTGAAATTCAAAATACAATAATAATTGAAAATACTTTTTGTAATACAGGTCCTACTAATAAGAATGGATTTCTTTTTTGGGGAGGATAACATTTTGCTTAATTGGAGTTGAAAGTTAGCGATCTCCATCATCAAAATCAAGGGCAAATGCTGTTCATCTGTTATTGCTGATCTGTAATGAGACTTTACATATTTTATCTTTGAAAAATGCATTTTCAAACAGATAGTTACTGCCAAATACTGATATCAATCCATGAGAATTTGGTTCTAATTGCACATATTCATCACTTGGAAAGCATTTACAGAATTCTTTTAGATTCTTCTCTTGATATTTGACTTTAAGCAGGTCATTACATTGCAGATTAATTACTTCCAATTGAGGATTAAGTGGAAATTCCTCAATTCTACAGTTAAATGAATTTTGAAATGTGGAAATTCCTTTTTTATTTTCACTGAGATCCAAAGAATGTTGCTGAAGCTGTAGTTTGAGCTCAGAAAAATCTATTCACTGCAAATTTGTATGGGAATGGAGATCTTGTTCTTATTTTAACTTTGAACAGAACAGGAAGTATGTGTTTCACATATAAGCTCTACTTTGTCTTGTAATTTTGGAGTGAATTCATTAAAAATACTACCAAATCTGCAGCAAAAGTTCATTTCCAAAGCCATTTAGTGTTGAATAATAGTGGTCAAGGATACTTCTCATTCAGAAAAACTTCAATCTTAGTTTTGAACTAAAAAAAAATATTATAGTTTTTTTTTCCTCTTCTTGTTTTGATATGATGTGTATGAACTGATAATTAAGAAAAAAAAAGTCACGGTATGGCTATGCACATGGCATTCAAAATGCTGTTGAGTTATAACTGCATCACTGATTTGTAGTACACTGAACAGCAGTGTGAAATGATGAAAAAGCCACATATGGTATCCTATACAACTATTCAGCTCTGCTGTTGCAGCAGAAAAGCAACCATAAATAGTGAGTAAACAAATGAGGGTGGCTGTGTTCCAATAAGATTTTATTTTCAAATGTGAAAACCATTCTCAGCTTACAGTCCATACAAAAACAGTGTGTGGGTTAGATTTGGCCCATGGGGCAGTTTACCAATCCCTGCTTCAGTCTGTGGGTTGGAATTGATGGTCACCGAGGTCCCTTCTGACTCACAAATTCTATAATTCTGTGAAGACTTGGGGGTGGGAAAGGACAGGATGAAGTGACCAGCCCAGTTTGATTAGAACATAGTTTGTGACAGGAAGTTGTATAAAATAAGACCGAAAGGTAGGATGAGCCAGATTGTGGAGAACCTTACATGTCAAGCTGAGAAGTTTTTATTTTATCCTATTGGTCATAGGTAGCCACTGAAGATTTTTCAGTAGCAGATGGCACATACTAACATTACTTTGACACTATGAAAGAGTAGATTGTAGACAAGAGAGAATGAGGGCAGTAATTACCAGTTAAGACAGTGTTATATAAAGGCGATGAAGGTTTATAACAGGGCAGTGGCGATGGAGTTGTGATAAATTTATGGATACAAGAGATATTGAAGAGATAGAAAGGAAAGGGTTGTCAGCTGATTGGACATAGCAAGAGAGGGAAGAGTCAAGGATGACTAAGAAAATGGTGGCGCCTTTAACTGAAGTGCAGACATTGGGAGAGGACACAGGTGTGTTGGGAAGAAGATGAGCTCAGTCTTAGCTATGTTGAATTTGAGGTGTAGTCAGGACATCAGGGTGGTGTACAGCAGGTAATTAAAAATGCAACTAGCTTTGGATCCAGGGATTAGATAAATCTAGCTGGAGCTAGAGAAATAGATCTAGGAGTTATCTGTATAAAAGTGATCATGATGCCACAAAGCCAAACTAGAGGGGATCTCAGAGGCCAGATAGTTCAACACCCTCATTTTTCAGATGAGAAAACAGACCCAGGGAAGTTAAGTAATTTGGTAAACAAAAGAGTAATGTGTGCACAAGGATGAAATGCCAAAAGAAAAAGAACAGGCAGAGAAGAGGAGATAACCTTTGTAGACTTCATACCAGCAGCCAGGAGGGGGAAGACCCACTGCTGAAGAAGACTGACTGATAGTGTTTAGACCAGTATGGGAAGCAGTCAATAATGGTAGCACAAAAGCCAAGTGAGGAGGCATCCTCCAGGAGGAGGGAGTGGTCAACAGTGTTGCATGGTGAAAAAAGGTCAAGAAACATAGGAATGGGAAAATATTATATATTTGTCCATTAAAAGACCATTGTAAACTTGGAGACAGCAGTTTCAGTTGGTTGGTGGAGACGGAAGCCAGTCTCCTGGCTGCTCCTCAAACAAGACACTCTATCATCCAGATTTAGGCATTTCCCCATGCCTGAAACAGTCTCTCTTCTCATCGACATCTCCTAGTTTCCCTCAAATACCAGCTAAAATCCCATGTTTCTTCAGGAATCCCTTCTTAATTCCTCTTAATTCCAATGCCTTCCCGCTGTTGATTATCTCTTTTTTAGCCTATATATAGCTTGTTTACACATAGCTGTTCACATGTATATTGTCTTCCCCATTCGACTCTGGGCTTCTCTCAAGGGCAGGGACTGTCTTTTGTCTTTCTTTGTCTCCACAGAGCTTAGCCCAATGCCTGGCATTGAAATATTTATTGACTGAATTGAGGTGGTGAAGAAATCAAGGTGCACTCCTCGGTCTAGAAGTTTGCCAATAAATGGAAGGAGAAAGATAAAATGATAGTTTGAAGGAGTGGTAAGGTGGAGTAAAGACTTTTTATTTTAAGCATACAGGAAATATGTTTGCATCTTAAGCATGTTTGCAGGTAGCAGGAAAGAAGCCAGAAACTCAGACACTCTGACAAAGGAGCAGAACAGCCAGAAGTATCAGGATTTAAAGCTGGATAAACTACAGAGATACAGACTAAGAACCTCATCTAAAAGATGAGAAAACAGCCCAAAGAGAGTTAAGTGGCTTACCCAAGGTCACACAGTAAAGGAGCACATAGCAGAGGAGGGAGCAGGGAGTGGAAGGGTCAAGACTCAGACCAGGTCTTCTGACCCTCTACCCAATGGTCTTTCTACCACATTCCACTGAGAAAAGGAGTTACTTAGGGATAGGAATGAGCAGATGAGAACAGCAGAAGGTCAAGGTACTCAGCTCAGTACCTTACACAAAACAAGCTCAGAAAAACTTGAATGAATGAACGCCTTTCTAGCATTAATCCTGTCCCAGTTCCAACCATAATCCCAATCTTAATGTTAAGGTAGCTAAGCATGTCTCTAACACAGGCCCTGACCTTGACCCAAATTCTAATCCTAATAGTAACCCAAACCTTAAACCTAACCTGAATCTAACAAATTTGACTCTGACTGGCAGTGATTTTCAACTTAATTCTAAACCAAATCCCAACCAAAATTTGTCATTCACACCAGAAAAGCAATATGGTAGAGGGGAAAGAGCCCTAAACTTTTGAGTCAACTGGGACATGGTTTCAAATCCTGCCCCTAGCACTTACTAGCTAGCTGTGTGACCTTAGACAAGTAACCTCACTTCTCTAAGTATCTAAGTACCCTCAGTATCCTCATCTGTAAAATGGGGGTATCTACCTGTAGAAGCAGCATAGGACATTGGAAAGAAGACTACCTTGGAAGCAGGAAGACCTGGGTCCAAGTCTTGCCTCTGACACATACTACTTTTATAACTGTGGGCAAGACCCTTTTTATCTCAAGACTATTAATTATATATTTATAATTAGTGACATTCAGAGAGCTCCAGAACATATCCAGGGGTGTCCCAGAACAACGAAATCTTCAATCTATGGGCCTCACAAGAGTTGTTGTAAAGATTAAATGAGGTTATGCATAGAAATCACTTTGGAAATCATAAAGCCAATATAAATGTCAACTACCATTAACCTAAACCAAATTCTGTCCCCATCATCACCCAATGACTCTGTCCCTGGTGCTATTTAGGAACTAGTTGGCCTAGGTACTCATAGCTGAAGAACCATTAGGCTACAGGTTCTCTACATCAAAAAGGAACAGCAGCGATGACCTAGTCCAATATGTACCTGGACAGGCATTCTTTCTCTATAGGGTACCTGTCAAGTGACCGTCTAGTTTCTGCCAGAAGACCTCTAGTGATGAGGAATCCAGCAGTCCATTCCAAGTTTTAGACAACTGTTGATTTTAAAGTTCTTTCCCACTTAGATACAAAGCCAGAGAACACATGCAGGGGCCCAGCATAGACTTCCCCTTATCCTGTCTTGAACAGCCCTTTCTGACCCTAGCAGGTGATTTCCTAGCATGCTTCCCCTCCCCTTGCCATTGCTATAGTCTCTTCTGGGCCACCATGGGAACTTCCCAGGCTCAAAGTCCCAGTGAGTGAAGAAATCTACCACAGTAACAGCCACTTGGGAGTCTGCTACCCCGCCTGTGACTGAGGATAAAGGGCAGACAGCTAGACTGACAGTGGGTATTCAGCCTGCAGAGACCTGAGACCAGTGTAGGGAGGGCTCTACTTTGTTCCGGGTGAGGCCACTTCTGCTTCCCAATTCGGGGTAGTTACTGGAACAGATTTGGTCATAGGATCTTAAGTTTTAGAACTGGAAAGAGAGATGATCTAATCCAACCTTCTCATTTTACAGTGAAACACTGGGGAGTGAAAGTAGGGGCCCAGGAGGCAGGACACCCGAGTCCCTTCCCAAGATCTCTGTTCTTAGAGTGAGCATTTTCAGCCATCAACAAAAGAGGTAAGGAGGGGTTGTTGGAGGGGTGGGGAGCACCCTGAAAGGGCAAAGGAGTCACAAGATAAATGCTGTTGTGGGGGAGGAACAGCATTTGGAGCTCTACTGTATCCTGATCCATGAAGAGTGAGGATTCTGGGGTCCTGCTCTCATCTCCAACTCGCTAGGTAGATGCCTTTCCTTCTCTGAGAAGGAAACTAGGAGAAGTCTTTGGGTTGCACCCTGCTCCCCTCACAATCAAGAAGACTGGTCCCCAAGTATCTGGGAGGTGCTGGTGTATGGTGACCTCCCCAAATCACAGGAACACCACCAACCCCACCCCCAGCCAACCTGTCTTTCCAGTTGCATATGCCAGGGCTGAACCCAGGATTCCCCAGGTAAGTGATAGCCCCTAATGGGGCTATATGGGAGGAACCTTATGTCCTGGTCTAGCTGTGCCTGACACATTTCACCCAGAAGCAGAAAGACCACTAGCAATGATAGACTATCTCTTTGTTTTGGCCTCTGTTTATCCCTTCTGGCAAATGGGGAAAGTCATCCTTAGCCTTATTGCCCAGAACTGGAGAGGGAGTAGGTTGCGTCCATGAGGAGCTTTGAGATCATTTGAACAGAGGGCACTCTCCTAGATGTGCAAGGAGAAGGGAGGAGACAAAAGACTACGGAATTAACCCCACTAAAATTGTTCATCTATGTAGGAGGGCTTAAGACTCAGATGAAGAAAAGGGATTCCCACAGGGATCCCAATTAAGCATGACAAACCAATGCTTCTTTATCCTGATCCCACCCTATTCAGGAAGGACTGCTGAAAGGAGAGGAGGAGAGATGTTGGGACCCCTCCCTGTGCCCTCAACAGGTCCATGAACTATGCCTGGCAGAGCAGGACATGACTGAGGAGGATGGGAGGAGCAGAGAGGAGAGGACGGGGAGTGATAGGAAAATCGAGGTCTTCCATAAGGTGTGGCCAGGCTCCACCTGGCCTCCTCTGGAAGCCAATGGCAAAAGGTGGCTTGGTACCAGGACATAAACTTACTCCTATACTGGGAAGAGGGGGAGATGTACATTTAAGCCCCTACCCATGCACCCTGCTCTGTCTAACTCAACGTACCCTCTTCAGGTTCCCTGAGCGGAGGTTGACCCATATGGGACCTCTATATCTTAGTTCCATGTCATCCCTAATCAGAAGAGGTAGGGAGGACACAAAGGAGAGGAATCCAACTCCAAGGCCATGGAGTTCCAGTCTGGAGAAGACAGAGTCCTTAATCACCTCATTCAATCTCCTCTTCTCTCCTGGAAGGAGTGGAAGCTTCTCACCCCCTATAACCCAAATCCTGTTACCAGGGTCAGCATCATACCCCTTGACTTTACCTTTAATTGTCTTGATTCTTGCAGCCTCTTCCCTGAGGAAGGCCCCTTTGCCAGGGCTCAGCAATGTTGCTCTGGGGATGCCTTTTCATCATGCTGGATGTCCTGCTGCAGCCTGAGTTCAGGGCAGGTGTGCTCAGGGAAGCACCCATGGGAGTCTCAGAGGAGACTCCCATGGTCTGTCTAGAGGGCTAGGGTTGGGGCATCTGACAGCTATTCCCCATGTTCTAGAGGAAAGTAAGTCCCAGAGGGATGTGGATTTGGGGTCAACATTAGGAATTTAAGGCCAAGGGTATGGGATCCATAAGAGCTAGTATGTCTAAGTTTGGGGATAGAGGTGAGTCAGGGGTAGAGGGATGTAGAAAGAAGGAAAGAAGGAAGTAGGGGTGAAGGGAATATTACGGAATAATAGAGAGATAGGCTCTGCCACTGATTTACTGTGTGACCTTGGGAAAGTCACTTTTCTTCTCTGGCCCTCAGGGTTCTTATCTGAAAAAGTATCTTCAGATCTGTGGCCTAAAGTCCCCTTTAGCTCTTGTATAAAGGAGTGGGAGTGAATAATCTCTAAGGCCCCTCCCAGCTCCAATATCCTATACCTCTGTGACTGGAAGCCTAGACCCCCACATGGTAATTAGTAAGAGTACTCCCCAATTCTTTGGATGCAAAATTCATCCAAATCCAACAGAATGAGGCAAAGAGGAGAGGGGAGAATTTGCAGGATGCAAGCCAGCCTCTGAGCCATCATCTTCCTCTTTCCTTACAGCATCCCTGCCTTTGCATATGGACTCGGTTATCCAGATTCTAGCACAAATAGAACAAGAAGCCCCCATTCTCCATCCCACAGTCCCTGGTCTACTTTTGATGTCTGGGAGTCCCATCGACTTCTTCCAGCATCAACTCCTTTCAGGGGTCCCATCTCCAGCAGAGCTCCAGCTTGACCTTCTTGGTCCAGAACTTCGAGCACTAGCCATCAGCTTAATCCAGCACCGAGTGGGCTCTGGGCAAGAGCATGGGGTAGTACTAGCACCTGATGGCTCCACGGTGGCTGTGGAGCCCCTTCTGGCAGGGCTCCAGGTTGGGCTCCACGGTCGGAGGGCTATGGCCATTCCCCTGGAGTTCAGATCTTCCCCTTCTGAAGTCAGAGATGCTCACAAGGAAAAAGGACTAACATTGGCCCCTCAAGTCAGCACGACCCTCCAAGATGTTGGAGACATTTCCCTGGACCCCACCATCCTCCCAGATGTCCATGCTAACTCCCCAACCAGTGTGGATAACCTCCTGGCTGTCACTCTGGCTAGAGCATTAGGCATAGCTTTCCTCCCAGGCCCTGGGACCCATACTCCCAAAGGCCTCGGGCCTGATGGCTGTTGGGACGAAATCTCAGCCCCCAAGACCTTTTCCCTGTTGAGCTCTGAGTCCCCTTCTGCCCTCACTGTAGCCTTCCTCAATGGGGCACTAGATGGGGCCCTGCTAGGGGACTACCTGAGCAGGGGTCCCAAGCCCCACTCACCACTCAGCCACATACTGACCCAGTACTATGGAGCAGGGGTGGGTGGGGACCCCCAATTTCGAAGCAACTTCCGCAGGGACAACGGGGCCAAGCTGACTTCACAGGAAGCCCTAGCCCAGCAGGTATGGGGCTCCTTGCTCTTGATACAAGAGTTAGAGCCCTCTCACCCCCACCTGGTAAATCTATCCCAAGCCCAATTGGCTGAAGTTGCTACCCAAGCTGCCAAGGAGTTCACTGAGGCCTTCCTGGGTGAGGTGGAATCTTTTTTCACATGATTACACACACACACACACAGGAACTATTGTTAAGCAATCGAAGAGGCCTTTCTAGTAGGAGACACCCCAGCTGTTAGACTCAATCACTTCCTGCCTATGGGGGGGAAGGGGAGGGTGAGAAGGAAGGAAGAAGTTGGGGGGGGTAGAAGGGAGTGGTTTCCACTGGGTTTAATCAAGATATATTCTGGGAGCTATCCCAGATAGACTGGGGTTACAATAGGTCAGACCTGGAATTTCTGGAACTTGCCTTGTTTTCAGATGTGGAAGACTCTTGTCCAGCTTGAATGTTTTGAGAAAGGCAAGACAGCCCTTGGTCACTGGGGCCTCACTAGTCTAAGTTCCAAAGTCCCTCTGGCTCTGTCATCCTGTGCTCTGCTTGATAGGAGCTGGATTTAGAGTCAGAGGGCCTGGGTTCAAATCCAGTTTCTGCTATCTGTGTGTCCTTAAGCAAGTCACTTAAACTCTTCAGGTCCCAAGTTGACTCCTCTGTTAAAAATAGACTAGAAGACTCCTCAAGCCTGTTCCAGATAAAATCTATGATCCTGTTTCCTAAAGTCCCCTTCAGCTCATACATTCCTTGTTGTAAAGTCTCTTTTGACGCTGACATAGGTATTCCGAACTCTTCATCCACTCTGACATCCTATGTACTAGACCAATTTCTAGAAGACCTAAACTAGGGACTAGACAGGCAAGCCAGGGCCAGAACCTGATGCAAGCAGAAAAGGAGGCCAAGATTCTTCACTGGAGCAAATTAAGTGAGAACAAACAGGCTGGGTCAGGACTGGAGAAACGTTTGGTCTGAGAGGCCGGGGCTGGGCCAAAGTGAGAGACAACCACCACAAGTATTAGGTTCTGTGCTTTCTGGTCAGCCCTGTCCTGAGGATGAGAGATCCATCCATCCAGGCCTAGGCTGCCAGGGGATCCTGGCTATACTGTGCCACTAGCCTCAGATGCCCTTGCCCCAAACACTTCCAATTCTCAGGCAGGAGGTCAAGTTGGGGCAGAAAGGGGGCTCTACCAGGGCTGGGTGTGTGTGGTCGACTCCCTCTGAGGAATTACTATGAAGTTTTGGGACACTTGTTATAGGTGAGACACCACCCCTCCCCTCATTTCCTCCTTCACCGTCAGAAACACATTGACGTTGGTATCTCATCTGTCACCCAGAATGCCCAGCCATCTTGCCCCGCTGCCGCTGGGAAGCAGCTCCTTACCGAGGGAGTCCCAGGATGCTGAATCTTCCTTTGGGATTCCTCTATGTGCACCACACCTATGAACCCCACAAACCCTGCACCAGCTTCTCCCAGTGTGCTGCTGACATGCGAAGCATGCAACGCTTCCACCAGGACACCCGAGGCTGGGATGACATCGGCTATAGGTGGGGAAGCAGAGGTAAAAGGGAGGGAGGCGAGAGGGGATGGAGGCTACAGTGAGGCTGGGATAATGGTGGATTGCATGAAGCCTAGAATCCAGATGAGGAAGATGATGACCCCACTGCATTTATTAACCAACAAGCATTTAAGTGCTTAGCACGTGCCAGACAATGGGTTAGGTGGGGATAAAAGCTGGGGATAAAAAGATAATAATGAAAGAGTCCTTGTCCTCAAGGATTTTACATTCCATTAGGACATATATAGATAAATAGACATAGATATAATGTACATATGTACATATATTTATATCTTATATGGAGAAGGAAATGGCAAACCACTCTGGTATCTTTGCCAAGAAAATCCCAAATGGTACATAACTGAAACCTATGTATATATATATATATATATATATATATATATATGCAAAATAAATAGAAGATAATTGAGGGGGAGGACAGATGAGGGAAGACCAGCAAAGGTGTCACACATGAGGTGAAACCTGGGTTGATCTTTGCAGGAAATCTTCCACTCTATGATATACAGAAACAGAGGTGAGAAACAGTGTATGGGGTGGGGAGGGGGGACACGGAGAAAGGAGAGGGATTGTGGTGTCTGAAGAACAGCTGCAGGCTGGTCAGAACTCCTCCTGGGGCATGGAGATCTGTTTTCTGGGCACCATATTTTAAGGATGGGGGCAGCAAAATCTTTTAATGGAATCAGAGGACCTGGTAGGAATCCTAGTTCTGACACTCCTGACTGTGACATTGGGTAAATCACCTAACCCTTCTGACCCTCCTTTTATGGATGAGGGGTTTGAATTAGAATGACGACTTTCAAGGTCCCTTCCCGTTCCAAATCCTATGACAAGCATAACAACCAGAACAAGGAGGGAAGTTGAAAGCAGACCATAAGAGGAGGCAGGGAATGTTTAGAAGAAAAGAGTTAGGGGGTATATGTTCCCTGTTTTTGAACAGCCCAGAAGCTGTCAAGGGGAGGACAGGGCAATCTTGTTCTATGTGGCATAAAGGGAGAAAGTGGGCCCTGTGGGTGTTAATTAAAGAGAGGCGGTTTTCAGGTCAGAATAAGCCCCAAGTGGAATGGGCAGTCTCGCTAGGCAGTGAGCTGCCCATCGCTAGAAGTGTTCCAGGGAGGCTCGATCACCCCTGCTCGATTAGAGGAGGGATGCCCTCTGAGCTTCTTCCCAGGTGGGGAAGGATCTGAACGCGAGAAGCGCAAGGACGGAGGAGGGGTACCAGGCGTAGGCTGTGCCAGATGCCCGCCCTCACCCTCCCGTACCTGCGCCCCGGCAGCTTCGTGGTGGGGACGGACGGCTACGTGTACGAGGGTCGGGGCTGGCACTGGGTGGGGGCCCACACCCGCGGCCACAACTTCCTAGGCTTCGGCGTCTCCATCATCGGCAACTACACTGCCACACTGCCCGCGGCTCACTCCTTGAAGACCGTTCGCGACACCCTCCCACGCTGCGCCCTGCGCGCGGGCCACCTTCGGCCGGACTACACCGTGCAAGGTCACCGGCAGCTAGTCCACACAGACTGCCCAGGGGACGCCCTCTACCGGCACATCAGCACGTGGCCGCGCTTCGGGGTGAGCGCCCCACACCCCCAACCCCGGCCCTTTCCCGACTGCGACCGTCTGATTTCAGGCTCCTCCCCCATGCCTTCCCCTGGCTCCGCCCCCAGCCCTAGCCCTGACTGCCCCATCTCTATTTTCTGTCTCTTGCCCTGGTCCCACCTCCACCCCTCAGCCTTATTCCTCCCTGACTCCGCCCACAGCTGGTCACAGCCAGTAGCCTGACTGCTGGCTCCTACCAAGACGCTGGTCTTCCTAAGCTTCATCTCAGACCGCTGCCCTATCCTGGCCCCATCCTGGCCCCTGACTCCACGCCCCACCCCCCACCCCCCGCCTTATTCCTCTCTGACTGCCCCAAGCTGGTCACTGCCCCTAGCCTTACTGGCCGCTCCTATCAAGACCCTGTTTCTTCTCCTAGTTCGTCTGAACCGCATTCCAGACCGCTTCTCAATCCTTGCCCCTGACTCCACGCCTAGAACTAGCCTCAACTTTATTTCCTGCACCCTAATCATGGCCCCATTCCGGTACTTAAACCAACTCTCTATGTCTATCCTCTCCTCCGATCTTCTGGTCCTATTCACCCTCCTCCCTACCTCAGGCGGAAGTCACAGGTCCAGCCCGTGGCCGGGTACGTAGATTTTTATGTCCTCCCCACACCCACCCAGCCCCCCTCCGCCGCCCGCCAGAGTCCTAGGACCTTCTCTGAGTGTTGTCCGTCTTTTCTAGGAGGTGAAGAAGAAAGCTTAAAGAAGAGGTACCTGTCAATCTCCTCAACCCCCTAAATACAGAGACTGCGAAGAGGGGAACTGTGTGCCTAAGTGTGCGAAGCAGGGTGTTCTCAGACCGCTAGCCTGGGAATCAAAGCTTGCGTTCCATTTCCAGCTGTCACTAATTCTCTGTATGACCTTGGATGAGTCATTTCCTTTCCTCTGGGGTCTCAGCTTCCTCGTATGTCAAATGAGGGTGGGGGGGCGGAGGGAGGGGCGGCGGAATTATGCAGGCTGTATCTGGTGATTTCTCAGTCCTTGAGAAGTCAGGACATTCTATGCTTCCTATTCTTGGGTCCCTTCCAGCTCAAATATACAGTATTCTAAGATTCCCTCCCTGCTCTGACTTTGCTCTCTAAGGTCCCCGCAAGTGGCGACATCCTGAGATTATTCCCATTTGCAAATACTTAAGTATGTACATACTTATTCTTAAGAAGGTACTTAAGTGTCTGAATGTGTTTCCTGGGGAGGAGGGTGAGGACACAATGGTCCATCGATCTATCAGTCAATAAACATTTATTGAGTGACTACCGCGTGCCCTGGTGCTAAATGCTGAAGATACAAATACAAAAAAGCCAGACAATCCCCCCAGTTAGTTTACAATCTAATGGAAGAACACAACACGAAGGGAAAAAAAAAAAAAGCTGGGGCATGGTGAAAAACTCAGAAAATTCCCGAAGTAGCACAGCCAGGTGAGAAATGAGATGTTTCAGGTGAACTCCCTCCACTTAATGGAAGTTTGGGAGTGAATGTCTCCACCCTCGAATCAGAGGGTGGAGATAGAGGCGGGGAGGGGGTAGGTGAGGAGGGGGCATACCAAGGCAGAAGGGATCTTGCTGGACTCATCCCAATAACAAGCTTCCTGGAGCATAGGTATCTCCTACGTCAGAAAAGTCAGAGGTATCCCAGGGTAGTCCAGCCAGGGTGAGAAATAGAGAAAGCATATATCAACACTCAGATTTATATCTGGATTTTTCAGGGCATGTCATCACCTCATTTGAGCTTTACAAAAACCCTATTATATAGGTACTACAGTTATTATTCTCAATTTACATATAAGGAAACTGAGACCCAGAGAGATTGTGATTTACCCATGGTCTCACAGCTAGTAAGTGTTGTAGTGGGTATTTGGACCCAGGTCTTCCTGACTCAATCCAGAAATCGATCTACTAAACTGCCAAGACAGAACCCTGGTGCCAAGGCTGCCACACACTCTCATACAGTCATCTCTGGGGAGTAGGTGAGCAGCAAAGATCATTCTCCTCGATTGGCAAACCAGCTTTCTCCTCTTCCACACGCCAATGTGGCTCTAGTGAGTTGTGCTGTGTCCATGAGGGTGGCCTAAAAGGTCACCTTGGAGGGATAACTTCCTTCTTTCTCTCCCCCCACCCCACCCCACCGTTATGTAATACGGATCTGGTGCATGTGCAGACCCCATCAGCCTGCTAATATGGCCTCTCCCACGTGGAAGACACTAGGCTTCTAGTTGAATCATGATAGCATGTGAGGGAAGTGTATACAGGGACGTTCCATAACTGGTTCCAGTTGATCTACCATGTGGTTGGGAGGAATTTTTTCCCACTGGCTATGTGCCTCTCTTTGTAGTCCAGACGGTCTGGTGACTCACAGTGTCCGGTGAGACTATACAGTAAGGAGCCTTAAGGACTGTAACCATCTCCTGGCCACATTGCCCTGAGAGAGAGGGTGCCTGAGTCCTTGGCCACCTAAGCAGACAAAGGATTAAGGCCCAAATTCACAGTGATGTGTCAGCCTCCAAGGGAGAGGGCCCAAGGCTTTTACCCTTACAGCGTTGTGTCTCAGTGTAGACAGCAAGGTTGTCAGACTGAGAGCAGAGGTCCAGCCAAGAGAGAGCAGTGGACACATCTAGTGTACTTTTTAATATCTCCCCAGCCAGTCAAAGAGCATCCTATTCACCATGTAGTTAGCCAACCAAAACCAGTTACAGAATGCTCCAGTCTCTCCAAGGCTATTACACATCCATTACAAGGCCATTACACACGTCCATTACACGTCACCACAACTCTCCTGGAAGGACACTCCCTAGATTCTCCATGTGGAAAAGTCATCTCAGCAAGCTGATGGACTTTACATATGTGTCCAATCCCCATTAGACTTGAAACACTAATTTACAATTTACCCATCAATAAAAGGAAAACTTGACGTAGGCCTTGAGGTTAACAAAGAACTTGTTTACATCATCTGATTTGTTCCTCACAATAACCCTTTTAAATACTACAATTATCACTATTCATTCCCATTTCAGAAATTAGGAAGCCAAAGATCAGACTAATTAAATTACTTGACCGTGGTCAGGAAGCCATTGAATTCTGCAGGTGAGATTTGAACAAAGGTCTCTTGACTCAAAGTTTAGCACCCTTTACATTGTTTCATAGAGTAAGACTATTCTACCCAACCTGGTGTCCTTTAACCTAGCACCTCCTAGAGCCAGCTAGCACTGCCATCTCTATTCAATACCCCTTGTCAACTGATAGCACCCCTGGGATCCATGAATATTACCAGCCCAGCCTGGGATGCTGGCTCTATGACCTAGTTGGTAACCCTTGAGGAAGGGAGAAAGGAAGTGCCAGAGATGAGGCTTGAATTGCCATGACATCTCTGCCTATCAATGCCAGGCTCTTTGCTGGCTCATTCCAGTCCCTATGTACTACGCCCCTCAACTCCCATCCCTGGTCCCTGCCACCCATCCCTGGAATCTACTATGATTCTCAGTTTATCTGGCCCCAGGGCTCACAAAGGGAGTGAGAGTCAGGAAAGAATTGTAGAACCAATTAACTCTTCCTCATGACCAGGGCAACCTCCATCATGGGATGGAAGACAGATTATGACGGGAAGGCCTAGATCATCATTGCTTATGGAAAAGCATCATTAAAAATAGCTCTACCCTAAGTATAGCAACTGTCTCAGTCTCTGCCTCTGCTTCCTAAGATACTTATGTGTGAGAATCTTGCCCAGTGGTCAAGGTGGGCATAGTACCAGAGGAACAGAATCATACAGACACTCTCACTATAAATGAACCCAGAAGGGATAAAGAAGTTGTAGTTAAATAAAACACGGCTCTCCTTGAAGAAGCAAGTAAAGGAGCTGGTGTTATCATGTATCCAAAGGTGGCAAGAAATATCATTTCATGAGACCCTTGGTTATCTCAGATTGCAGTACTACATAAGCAAAAAGACCACCACTCAAAGATTACCATCTTGTGTTTGCCAATGTATTTTGCAGAGGATGATTAAGCAGATCAATTGTATAAAGAATTGAATGAGACTCTCCAAATTAAGTCAACAGACAGAGACCTCAATACAAAGATGTGCAATCAGGGAGGACGGTGAAAAACATGTTAGAAAATGTAACTCAAGAATAAAAAATGAGAGATGCTGAAGGCTTGTAGACTGAACAGAAGCCTCACAGCCATAGAGCAGGAATACTTTCTTCAAGAAGTGAGTTAGAAGACCCTGGACATGGAGGACACCAAATAACATCACCCACCCCATCCCCCAATGAAACTGATTGAATCTTAGCAGAAAGGAAATGACTAGTTACCAATTTCAGTGCATAGTCATTTCCAGATCATCTGTGTACAGTCAGACCATTAACTTGATAGATGGTAAGCAAAATCAACACTAAATTGGAGTAAAGGTTGAAAGTGAGAAAAATATTTAGCAAACAATTAAAACAGTTCTAAACTGATCTTTTTTTGAATCATTATTAAATTTTATTTTTAATTTATGGAATAAAACAAGCATATACAATAAAAAAAAGATGATTACACACAAAACTGCAAATCTGCTATGCACAATTTGGTATTCCTTTCAAACATACAACAAAATTATCACCTTTTTTAAAAGTAGTTGACAAAAAAATAAGAAACAGACAGCCATATATAGACTGTCATCATTTACCATGGAAACTTAACTTATGTAAAGCAATCAGCCCAAGAAAGTACACAGATTCTAGAAACCACCTCACTTACCAAATATTTGACCTCCTTGCCAGAGAGATAAGGCAGTCAAAGGCAACAGTATTTTAGATTATTAACTCATCTGCTAAACTTTTCAGAGAAAGATAGTGGAAGATTACTAGCAATATTGCCTCACAAAACAGCAAAAAGTCGTGTTTGTGTTGTAGGGGACAACAAGACAAGTTTGCTGAAAGGTGATTGAGTAAGACTCAATTAAGTCAGAGCATCCCGAGAAGAGTTAAAGAGGAAAAGGGAAGGAGGAAAACAGATGCAAAATGAAAAAGATGTATCAAAATGTCATCTGTAGCATTGCTTTGCAGGCACAAGAATTCTTATAATTTATGCCATTTTGGAAAGAAACTTCGGGAGGCTGTGTGTGTAGGTGATTAGGGTTGTTTCCTAGACATTTCTCAGAAGGCAGAAGAAGAGAGAAAGATGAGATGCTCTAGAGGAGCAAGCACATTCTCCATCTGGAGGGAGAGAGACATGTAGGGAGTTTCCTGCCTTGCATTTGCATCCACAGCATACTTACGAGAACAAGGGATTGTGGAGGTCCTGCTGTGGTAGGTGTGGCCCCTGTATTGTGGACTGATTCCCATTTGGGAGAGACAGCCCCCCTCATAAATGTTTCCCCCTGCCCCATGGCTACAAGTGGAGGGAGAAGGATATGAAGAATTGTCCCCTTTGCAGGATCTAAGCAAAGAAATCACTGGAAATATTTCCTGCCTGAAGTGATCAATGCCCTGCCCTCCCCCCATGCCCAACACTGTGTTCTGCTTGCTCCCTCCTTGCCGTTCTGATTTGTTTTCCCTGATACATAAAAATAATTTAGCACGCTGTCCTTGGGTATGTGATTATTTGGAGAAGTAGGAAGGTAGAAAAGGTCTAGAATAAATGCAATAAATTTTCTCGGGCTCCCTAGATCGCTTACCAACCCCAAAGGAGTAGCTACAAATGCTTTTTTTTTCTTTTTAAAGCACCAAAAAAAAAACCCCCAGACATTTCCATACACACTTCAGGACACAAAAGAGGCTTTTCTCTGAAATCTTGACTCTCCATTTCATATCACTTTTTTTTTTTAAAGAATGTAATAAGGGCAGCTAGCTGGTGTAGTGGATAGAGCACTGGTCCTGGACTCAGGAAGACCTGAGTTCAAATCCGGCCTCAGACACACACACACACACACACACACACACACACACACACACACACACACACACACACCACTCAGTAACTGTGTGACCCTGGGCAAGTCACTTAACCCCATTGCCTATTCAAAATAATAATAACGTAATAAATCCTACACATTACTTGCAAAACTCTTGATTCTCTGTGCTTCCTTTTTGTTATCTTCTGTGCATTTAAAAATGTTGTAATGGTCTTGGGGGGGAGGTAATCATCATTGCTTACCATCCCCTTAATTCCCACCCCTCAATTAACAAAGAGAAAAAAAATACTCTTCTAACTAATAAGCATAAGTCAAGCAAAGCAAATCCACATAGTGGACATATCTACAAATGAATTTCTCTTT